TCTGTGAAAGCTATAGACAGTGCATAACCAGATGGGCATGGTTGTGTTCCAATAAAACTTTATTTATAAAAACGGGTCATCTGTCTGGATTTGGCCCTCAAGCTTGCTCTATAGATTCTCTCCTCCCCCAGTAGATGTCATTGCTTTTCTTGTTTCTAATTATGGGCATTGACAAAAGTGATTCTGGCAGTTAGGTCAATAACTGAAGGAAAGAACAGCAAGAAGTTTGGCCCCTTTCAAAGAGAAGGATTTAAATATCAAGGATTAAGATAGGCCTCTGGGAAAATCAATAACACTCTCAAACAGTTTTGAAGAAATGACTTTGACTCTACTGCAGAAGTCCAACATTGATGGAAAGTATGTCATTGAGCCTATTAGCATACTGTTTTGTTGCAAAAATTAGAGCAAGATAAATCAGTATGTGATTCATGCTTGGCTCATTCTTAGAATCAGCATGAAATTCCAATTGTAACTTAGATTTTAAAAATAACAAGGATAAATTTACTTTCCTGATTTCTACCTTATTTTCTGCGATAAAGCCCCAATCAATCAAAATATGTTTTCCAAGTAATATTCTCTATAAAATGTACCCATTTTAGGTAGCCCTTTTCCTAGCCCTGATTGTGCTGAGCTGATGAGGATTGAGTACTTTTTCTCCTCATTAGTGTGGGAAGGAATTGACTCAGTTCTGTTCTGGATCTTACTTCTTCAGAGAGAATGGTTAGGGCTGTATTTGCTGAAATCTTCGTTTGAAATACCCAGGCTGGAGCTGGGTGGAGGTTGGATGGGCCATACAGAAAGGCACAGTGTTTTCAGTCGTTTGGTTATTACTATCAACCTTTGGGGCCAGGGACATTTTTTGCGCCAACTGTACTATTTTTATTTGTCCTGCTCAGTTTTCTAATTCTGTCAGGTCTGATCCCTACACCTTTCATATCAGCACTGGGTGCCAAGGAGGCTTGGAAAGCCACCTGGAAAGAGAGGTGACTGAGCACCAGGCCGAGGAGGGGGACAGATAGGGCTGCTGACAGTGATGAGCGCAGGCTTTCTCAAAATTGCTCCCTTGTATCAAGGGTCTCTTAGCAGCCTCAACCCCTAAGAGAAGACTTCCTTCTGTGCCTTCTGGGCTCTGCAGAATACTAGGTCGGTAGGCTTACAGGGTGGGGATTAGGATGTCAAACGGACCCGTGTCAGCTTCTTAGCGCAGGCCAACCCCCAGTCTGTCTCCACGTTCTCATCTGAACGGTGAGGGTCATGCTTGTTCCTAGTTTGTGGAGCTGTTACCAGATGATTTAATGAGTCAGAACACATTAAGAGTTTAGCACACAGTAGGTACTCAGTAAAAACCTGCACTGAGACCAGGAAGTTGGTTTTCTTTTGTCGTCATCTTTCTCTCCCTGTCCTTACCACCAGAAGAAAACAGAAAGCCCCAAGAACTCCAGGTGGGATCTTTTCTACTAAAGATTGGGGCATGGGGGTTGCTCAGAGGAGGAAGATGCTTCTTTGGGGTTATGACTTCTCAGCTGCACACCTCCCTTCCCTGTTGCCCGCAGCCCCAACAAGCGAGGCCCACCAACGTACAACGAGCACATCACCAAGCGTGTGGCCTCTAGCCCGGCACCCCCCCCCGGAAGGCCCCAGCCACCCGCGAGAGCCAAGCACACCCCACCGCTACCGAGAGGGGCGGACAGAGCTGCGCAGGGACAAGTCTCCGGGCCGCCCACTGGAGCGGGAGAAGTCGCCAGGCCGGATGCTCAGCACACGGAGGGAACGTTCCCCTGGGAGGCTGTTTGAAGACAGCAGCCGGGGCCGGCTGCCTGTGGGAGCTGTGAGGACCCCACTGTCCCAGGTCAATAAGGTGAGGCACCATCCTGAGGCCAGGGGAGTGACCTGGGGAGCTGAGGGCCCTTCAGGACCACTGTTGGGAAAAAAGGGGGCGGGGGGAGGGACACTCATAATTCAGATTTTTCAGGACATACAGCAAGTTCAGGAAGTAAACCTATTTCAGAAGAGGCCTTTCTAAGCAAATGGATGATGTGTACATGTGTACCTCAAAATGGAATACTCTTTCAGAGCATTCATCAACCTGAGGGTAGATCATTCCCTTCCCCAGAGGCAACCAGTGTTAGCAGTTTCTAGAGATATTCTATGCATATAAGCAAATATATATATATATATCTTCCCTTCTTAAACAGAAATGATAGTGTACCACACAAAGTTTATGCCTTATTTTTTTCAGGCACATATACAGATACACACGTACATCAAGAATTAGTTTGGAGGGCCATACAGAAATTGGGAACAGTGGTTGCCTTCTAGAACTTTGAGCCTTTTGAAATCTTTAAACCATATGCATCTGTTCTCTATGTAACTTTGTAAGTTAGTCAATGAAGAGATGGCGGGAGGTGTTGAAGCCAAGGAGGGGGTTCCCCATGAGCAGGGGGTGGGTCTGAGTGCTTGGTGCCTCCTTGGCAGGCTAGCCAGTTCCAGGGCCCCCCTCTGGACAGCACAGTTACCTTTCTGTCCCTGGGGGGAGGAGAGGGGTGGTTTTCTAGATCACATTCTCCTCATGCCACCTGCAGGTCACAGTCGGGACCCCTGCCAATCAAGCGGAGGAAAAGCCCGTCAATGTTTCTTCTTAGCCCCTCTGACTTACCGATAAAACGGGTCCAGCGTATGTGTGTTTAACAGAGATCCATCCAAAGCTTTGGAGAATTTTCTGTGTTTTTCATTCCCTGATGAACCCCAAGCTCCGCAGCATGGCTCTGCTCGCTGGTGCCAGCCTGGGCGGCTCTCGGTGTTACCAGCCGCAGGGAGACCAAGCACGGCACGCGTCCTGCCGGGATCATGCAGGGCAAGCCCAGGGACTCTTGGCCCCCTAAGCTAAAACTCCTCCTCCTTTTGCTCCTAGGTCTGGGACCAGTCTTCAGTGTAAATCTCAGCCAGGAAAACCAACTCCTCATCTCAACCTGCAGGAAAACACCACTCTAAGGAACTCCGCTGAAGGGGCCCCCGGCACCCATCTGCTCAGCCACCCCAAGGCACAGCTGGGCCCAGACCCGCCTCCGTGCGGACAGCCCGCATCCAGGGGGTGCAGGGGCCGAGCTCTTCTGAGCTGCCAGCGCCTTCCTGCAGTCATCCTCTGTGCACTTTGTTACTCTTTCAGAGCATTCATCAACTTTTATACCTAGCTCTAGCCTGTACCGGTTCATCAGAGGAAACCAACCTGCGCTAACTACAACGTGGTTAGAATCCTATTTAATAGCTACTTTAAGATCCTAGGGTTGGTTGGATTTCCTTTTTTCTTTCTTTTTTTTTTTTAAAAAAAAAAGACAACAGAATTCTTAATAGATTTGAATAGCAATGTATTTCCTGTTGTAGTCCTTTTTAGCTAGATCACACCATCAGGTCTTTGCTCCGGAAACATATTGTGGAAGAGTCCCCGCCAGTTGGCTAACCTCCTGCGCTCATGTAGGTTCATTCTTGTCCCAGTCCATCTGCGCAGATGGCCCTGTTTGACCCAGGGTGACATCTTAGCCAAATGTTTACTGTTCTCATTGCCTTTTATGGCCTTGACGACTTCCCCTCCCACCAGCTGAGAATGTATGGAGGTCATCGGGCCTCAGCTCGGAGGCAGTGACTTGGGGCCAAGGGACCTCGAGGAGCTCTCCCTCCCTGCCCCTCAGCGTCATCTCCCCAGACTGCTGTCCCTGCTTTCCACGTAGCTCTGGCCAGGAAAGCATGCAATAGACTTGCTCAGAGCCCAGCATTGAGTCTCTGGGTCCGGGAGGGGACCGGGGGTGCCCACCTCCTGTCCACGACAGTGCGTTGTTCCCCACCCTGGGATGGGAAGAGACCCGTCCGGGAGTTCTGCATGGCGGTTCACTGCATGTGCTGCCCCCCGACCTGGCTGCCCCCCTTGGGTTGCTCTGCCGATGTACTAGAACATACCATAGCTCCCGCCGAATCGAGACCCTCCGACCACTTGCCAACTCACTGGCCACAACAAGCTGCAGTCTGTAGCACTGAACAAAAAAACCAAACGCTCAAGCCTTACGACCAGAGAAGGATTTCAGCAAACCACCACCTCACACCCTCACGCTTCCCTGACTCCCTTGTGGACGACTCTGTGTTCACACAACATCCAGCACGGTTCTACCCCACAAAACTGTGACTTCCCAAGTGAGCCTTTCCCTAGGGCTAGCTGAGGACCAGGAAGTTCCAGAGCACCGCGGCTCCTCCTCTGCCTCTGCTGGGGTCGGGAGGTCCTCCCTTAGGTGCCGCGCAGCTCACACGGTTTCTCACCGCCCGCTACCAGAAGGCAAAATTCCTGGCAACCGGTCAAGAAGCAACCCAGAGGCTCTGCAGTTGGCAAGCTAACTAGCGGCCTTACTTCTGCCTTTAATCTCCCACAAGGCACCTCTTGCTTCAGATTCTGCGTGACTCTTAGGCATGCCTCGAACAACCAAGGCACATCCTAGGTAGGCTGAAAGGTAGACCTGTTTCCACCACCACAGGTGAACGTGACCACATTGCAACCCCACGTTGTCCACAGTTCAGATCACTTTCCAGATTGCAACCTGGCCCAAATCCCAGCTCCTTCCTGCTTGTCTCTTAACCTAAGTGCTTTCTTGTTTGGAACGCCTGTGTCCCTCCCTCCATGTTGTTACACCCTTGGCAGGTGTCACGCTGTTGTTTTATGTATTGCTTGGCGTCTTTGGGGTCATGATGCATCCCCTCCCCTCCCCAGGGCAGATCAGACTGAATGTTTGCTGAAGTTTTTGTCTCTTGGTCCACAAGTATTTGGAAAGGTCACTGAAAACTGGTCTTTCAGTCTTGGTATTTCATTTAGGATCTCCATGAGAAATGGGCTTCTTGAGCCTGGAAAGTGTATATCGTGTGTCTCATCTGTGAAATGCTTCCTGCTATAGAACTAGCTCAAAAGACTGTACATATTTACAAGAAACTTTATATTCGTAAAAAAAAAAAAGGAAATTGAATTGGTTTCTACTTTTTTATGTAAAAGGTGCATTTTTCAACACTTACCTTTGGTTTCAACGGTGGTAGTTGTGGACAGCCATCTTCACTGGAGGGTGGGGAGCTCCGTGGGACCACCAAGATGCCAGCAGGAAATACCGGACCACGAAATCGCAGTCAAAAGCTTATTAGCATAAGTAAGATTCTAGGTCTCCAAAAGTACAGGCTTTTTCTTCATTACCTTTTTTATTCAGGATGAGGAAAAGAACACAAAGGAACAATTCAAGATCCATCTGGAGAGGAATGAACTTTGTTGTTAAACAATAGTGAAATAAAGCAATGATCTAAAATGTTTGCTTTTGTGCAATGACCTCTTCTTAAGAGACCACAAAAATCCCAAGTCTTGGGCCTGTGTCACCACAGGGTTGTTATCATGGCGTGGGACCTTGCTTCCTTTTCTCGTGGGGTCGGAAGTGCTTTTTTTCTGGGGTCAGGGAAGGACACAGCTCCAAACACACTTGCTTTCCTAGTGTCAAGCGGACTGGCAGCATTCTCTTCCAAGAGTGAGACCTTGTTGAAGTTTAGTCATTATTTCCAGTGAACCATGAACTTGGCAGGTAGGTCACTTTATAGGACTGCGGAACTAGAGAGCTCCTAATGCAAACAGGCCATTCTGAAAGGCTTGAGATTGGATTACCTATAATCCAGTTCTATAATATTAGCAGCTAACCAAGAAAACAGGTCACCTTAAAATCTCTCTCATCTCTTATAAGGCCCTGGGGATTTTAATGATGTAGAATTCCTTGGAGGAGTTCAGATCAAGGTAATTTAAAATGTAAATACTTCTATTTTTAACTAGATGGATTTTTAGAGTCTGTGAGGTAGATTTTTTCCGTGATTTTTTAGTTTGTTAGTATAAACTCTGCTTGATCTGGACAAACATTAGTTTTGGCAAATGGTGATTTCTTTCATGGTTCCTGTTGCTTTTACTCTCTTGATTTTTATTTTTCGATGAAGTAATCTGACCACAGTCACAATCTTACTTGCAGGGTCGTATCTGACATGGCTTGTTATAGGAACCATAGTTGCAATTCTGTTCTGCTTTACTCCTGGAGATAAAAATCTGCCAAAGGACATAACTATAAGAAGGGAAATAATTCAGGGGTACCTAGGTGGCTTAGTCATTAAGCCTCTGCCTTCGGCCTAGGTCATGGTCCCAGGGTCCTGGGATCGAGCCCTGCATTGGTCTCCCTGCTCAGGGGAAGCCTGCTTCCCCCTCTTCCACACCCCCTGCTGTGTTCCCTCTCTCTTATCTCTCTCTCTCTCTCAATGTGTTAAATAAATATTTTAAAAAGATAAAATAAAAAGAGAAATAATTCAGAAGATGAAACAAGTAAAAATGTTGGAACCTTTCTTTCCTTAAAATACTGGGGAAAGTCTATTAAATATCAACCAACCTTTTCAGTTAATGAGAATTCTTGACAGCCAATGGAATACTTCAAAAGCATAAACAGTTTGGTTCCAAAAGGAATGTTCCTGAAAGCTTCTCTGGACCCTAAGGAATGATCCCAAAGAAACAACAGACAATTACTCAGCCCACCATAAAATGAGGCCCAACCTTCTATACTGCCACGACTCCTTTTTTTCCCCAAGATTTTGTTTAGAGAGAGAGAATGCACAAGGGAGGGGCAGGGGGAGAGAGAGTAGCAGGCACCCCACTGAGCAGGGAGCCCGACTCAGAGCTCTATCCCAGGATCTTGAGATCATGACCTGAGCTGAAGGCAGACGCTTACAACTAAGCCACCCAGGCGCCCCACCTCTCCCGTTTCTTAAACAGAATCAGACATGTGTTCTGTGCTTACAACTTAATTTTCATGAGACTAAAGATGCTGACTGCATAGTAAATTTCAGACCATGAAACTTTAGGATTTGGAGACTTAGGCCAAAAAGATAATTTGCTTGATAGGACTGAAGTTTTTCTTCAGAACTGGGCCTCTTGAATCTGATTTACTCTAGCAACTGTCCATGCAGTTTTAAATCTAAAGCATTAAGACTAGGCCTACAGGGGTGGGAACAGCTAAGCTTCGGCTCCTAGTAACCGCTGAATCAGCCTATTCTGGTGGTTTTAAATTACTGCACTTTGCTCCCCTCCCCTCAGGATATCTGACAATGTCTGCAGACATTTCTGATTGTCAAGACTGGCATCTAGCCGGTCCGATGGTGTATGGGGCAGCCTCCATCCCCCACTAGGCTCCTATCGGGTCCAAGTGTCAAATAGTGCCAAGGTTGAGAAACCTTGGCCTGTCCTGGTCAGATTTCTCTCTGCGCAGTTTAAACAGTGCTTATGATGTATACAGCACAGAGACTGTGGCACCAGGCACACAATGTTTATATGAGTGTTTTATCACTTGCCTAATCAAATATTGCTTTATTTTCCAAAGCTGGGGAGGGTAAGGTAGTGGAAATACAGTACAGTGTTGATCACTTGGCTTTCCCTTGAGTCTGTCAATGATTAATGGAACTCCGTTTACCCGGAAGGGCTTGTTGGAGGTAGAGGAAAGAATTTTGAAAACGACTTTACTATTATATGCAGCTCAGTCTGTCTTTCAGAGAACCATAAAAAAAGAAAAAGTTGACTCACGGTACACACAATTTCCCAGATGAGACGGGTGAATTCACTCCAGGGGCAGTAGAAAATGTTGCGATGAGGGCTGGCATCCTCATCCCTGCAAAGGCCCATACTGAGGACAAAGAGGACAAAAAAGACTATGAGTGGGAGCTGACCAGAAACAGAGCAGGCCCCACAGACTGGGAGCTCTGGCTGCTCCAGCTTTTGGACCTTCTCTGAGGGTCTGACTCAACCGCACTGCTGGCTCTCAGGAAGGCCCTGCAGATGTTATTACAACAGGAAGGATGACTCAGGCTTTAGAAGAGATGCACATGTGCTCGTAACTTCCTTATTTTCTCCTGAAGACAACTGTCATTGGTGTTCTGGGTTAGAAGGCTCTGGCTTGTTCCTCCTTCCTGGTTTCTCTCTCCAAGAGAGGTGCTAAGGAGAGATTCTTTAGAAGCTGGATGGAGGGGTGCCTGGGTGGTTCCGTGGGTTGAGGCCTCTGCCTTTGGCTCAGGTCATGGTCCCGGGGTCCTGGGATCAAGCCCCATGTCGGGCCCTCTGCTCAGTGGGGAGCCTGCCTCCCTTCCTCTCTCTCTCTCTCTGCCTGCCTCTCTGCCTGCTTGTGATCTCTGTCAAATAAATAAATAAAATCTTAAAAAAAAAATCTGGATGGAGATGTGAGTGGTCTATAGAGTTGGATCCTCATTAATTCATTCAAACTGTTCATAAACACTGGTGGAGAATCAGGTACTGGGAGAACTGGATGCATGTTCTGAAATTAAACTGTGTGCATTTAGAAATAATGGGAGTCGAACCAAATGACATTTTACTCTTCCCTGAGTGTTGTCTCTGACCTCAACCATGGATGAGATCACTGTTATGTTTTTGGGTTTTTAATCTTGGCTTTTGGAGTTTGTAAGTTTCCTATTGAGCAAATTGAGGGGCTGGCATTTTTTCCTTTCTGGACTCCTGACTTCCTGTTTGTGGCCGTATCCCAGCCATGTTATAAAGGCTTTGGAGCTCCCAACACTAAGGGAGCCTGAAGATCATCTAGTGCTAGTCCAGCCCCTCTCATTTCTCAGGGGAGGAAATCAAGCAAAGAAAGGCTATGTGACCTGCGCAAGGTCACCTGAACTGGATCAACATCCCTAATCTCATTCCAGCATTGACATGCTGGGAAGGGATGGAGCAGGGGAATGGCAGACTCCAGTGAGAAGTTAGGCTTTGATCTGGTTTCAGAGCACTGTTGACCTCCCTCCCATTTATACCCGTAAGTGAAGCCAGAGGAAGGGAAGAGCTTTGCCCGGGTCCTTTGATCTTTGGCTTCAGTATTTTGACATATGGTCCTATTGACCCAATACCGTTTTACATGTTAGGAATGTGAAAGCCTTATCTTTGGTTCTATAAATCCGTCTGTATATACATTTCCGGAGGGAAGAATACATCTTCATTCAAAAGCAATTTGGGTTCCAGGACAAACAGAAATGAAAAGAATCTGTGATCACCAAATCAGCCCTATAGGAAATATTGAAAGGGGTCCTCAAAGCAAAGTGAGAGCCTAAAAGTAACACAGACCAGAAAGGAACAGAGACAATATGTAGTAACAGTGACCTTATAGGCAATACAATGGCATTAAATTCATCTCTTTCAATAGTTACCCTGAAAGTAAATGGGCTAAATGCCCCAATCAAAACACACAGGGTATCAGATTGGATAAAAAAAAAAAAAAGACCCATCGATAGGTTGTCTGCAAGAGACTCATTTTAGACCCAAAGACCCTTCCAGATTTAAAGTGAGGGGGTGGAAAACCATTTCATACCTACAGATATGGAATGTATCATCAGATTGACTGATTGATACAGATTGGATAAACTTTATCCAACAAGAAGATCTAACAATTGTAAATATCTATGCCCCTAACATTTGAGCAGCCAATTATATAAACCAATTAATAACAAAATCAAAGAAACACATCAACAATAATACAATAATGGTAGGAGACTTTAATACTCCACTCACTGAAATGAACAGATCATCTAAGCAAAAGATCAAGGAAATAAAGGGTTTAAATGACACCCTGAACCAGACGGACTTCACAGATATATTCAGAACATTCCATTCCAAAGCAACAAATACACATTTTTCTCAATTGCACATGAACATTCTCCAGAAAAGTTCACATCCTGGGTCACAAATCAGGTCTCAACTGGTACCCAAAGATTGGGATCATTGCCTGCATATTTTCAGACCACACTGCTTTGAAACTAGAACTCAACCAGAAGAGAAAAGTTGGAAAGAACTCAAATACATGGAGGCTAAAGAGCAGCCTACTAAAGTATGAATGGGTCAACCAGGAAATTAAAGAATAATTTTAAAAATTCATCAAAACAAATTAAAACACAACCGTTCATAATCTTTTGGGATGCAGCCAAGGTGGTCCTAAAAGGGGAGTCCATAACACTATAAGCCTTTCTCAAGAAAGAAGGTCTCAAATACACAACTTAACCCTATACCTAAAGAAGCTGGAGAAAGAACGAGCATAGAAACCCTAAACCCAAAAGGAGAAGAGAAATAATAAAGATCAGAGCAGAAGTCAATGAAATAGAAACCGCAAGAACAGTTGAACAGATCAACGAAAACAGGAGCTGGTTCTTTGAAAGAATCAATAAGATTGATAAACCCCTGGCCAGACTTATCAAAAAGAAAAGAGAAAAAAACCCAAATTAATAAAATCATGAACAAAAGAGATCAGATCACAGCCAACATCAAAGAAATACTAACAATTTTAAGAACATATTATGAGCAACTATACGCCAGCAAATTAGACAATCTGGAAGAAATGCATGCAATCCTAGAAACATATAAATGACCAAAACTGAACCAGGAAGAAACAGAAAACCTGAACGGACCCATAACCAGTAAGGAAATTGAAGCAGTAATCGAAAATCTCCCAACAAGCAGGGGCCCAGAGCCAGATGGCTTCCCAGGGGAATTCTACCAAACATTTAAAGAAGAATTAATACCTATTCTCCTGAAACTGTTCCAAAAAATAGAAATGGAAGGAAAACTTCCAAACACATTTTATGAGGCCAGCATTACCTTGATCCCAAAACCAAAGACCCCATCAAAAAGGAGAATTACAGACCAATAGCCCTGATGAACATGGATGCAAAAATTCTTACAAAATGCTAGCCAATTGGATCCAACGGTACATTAAAAAGATTATTCACCACAACCAAGTGGGATTTATTCTTGAGCTGTAAGAATGTTTCAACATCCACAAATCAATGTGCTACATTAATAAAAGAAAGAACAAGAACTATATAATCCTCTCAGTACATGAAGAAGAAGCATTTGACAAAGTACAGCATCCTTTCTTGATCAAAACTCTTCACAGGGTAGGGTAGAGGGTACATACCTCCTAGCCTCAGCAATCACACAACAAAAAGAAATAAAAGGCATCTGAATCAGCAAAGAAGTCATCAAACTCTCACTCTCTGCAGATGATAGGATACTTTATGTGGAAAAGCCAAAAGACTCCACTCCAAATCTGCTACAGCTCATACAGGAATTCAGTAAAGTGTCAGGATATAAAATCAATGCACAGAAATCAGCTGCATTTCTATACACCAACAGCAAGACAGAAGGAGAAATTAAGGAGTTGATCCCATTTACAGTTGCACCCAAAGCCATAAGATACCTAGGAATAAACTTAACCAAGAGGCAAAGAATCTATACTTGGAAAACTATAAAGTACTCAGGAAAGAAATTGAGGAAGACACAAAGAAATGGAAAAACGTTCCATGCTCATGGATTGGAAGAACAAATATTGTGAAAATGTCTATGCTACCTAAAGCAATCTACACATTTAATGCAATCCCTATCAAAATACCATCATTTTTTTTTCAAAGAAACGGAACAAATAATCCTAAAATTTATATGGAACCAGAAAAGACCCTAAATAGCCAGAGGAATGTTGAAAAAGAAAGCCAAAGTTGGTGACATCACAGTTCCAGACTTCAAGCTCTATAACAAAGCTGTCATCATCAAGACAGTATGGTACTGGCACA